ACAGGGTACCTTCTGATCGTTATACCCATACCTCCTGTTCTATCATGTTCCATGCGGCAACCAGTTAACCAGCTACCAACAACCTACAACCAACTGGAGCCAGCGAAGCGTTCATGTGAAACGTCCAGTTTCTGCTTCCCCCTGCAGTGCATATTTGGCCCTCTTCTGCCACTTTTGCCACTTTTGGTGCTGTTTTTCTGCGGTTGCTGTTGTTGTTGCTGTTGCTGTTGCTGTTGCTGTTGCCGTTGCCGTTGCCATGTTGTGGCCAAGTTGTTGCTGCCACCCGTGTGTACTCGTTTCGTTCGGGAAATTCGTGAAAAACCGAAATTAGCCATCGTTAGGGGCGAAATTTGCTGGAAAACTCTCCACCAGCCAAGGCGCCTCTTCGGTTTGTTTATGGGTTTCATTTTTCATGCCGTTCTGGGCACTCCAAAGTGCTCCAATTGCTTTCAGCCCCAAGGCCAGCGCAATTAATTTGCGCAATTAACTGAAATTGAACGCCTATTTGACGGGTCATTCTGGTGGCTACAAGTGGGTCAGGCAACCACCAACATCTTCGCCACCTGACCGCGAATGGGCGACAAATTGGGCTGAGCTTGAGCAATTTCCGAAATAGAATAGAGAATTGCTTTGGATAATTAGGGAGGATGGTTGTGCATGTTGCAATATCAATTACAGAAGTTCTTTTTGAACATACGCATGTTTTATTACAATATTACAATATGCTTTGGATAATTAGGGAGGATGGTTGTGGATGTTGCAATATTAATTACAGAAGTTCGTTTTGAACATACGCATGTTTTATTACAATATTTTCCATTTGCATCTTTTCCAGACGCGGTCTGACACCGCCTCATCGGGTGAAATCCATATCGATGGCCACATTCACACAGGACGAGATCGACTTCCTGCGCAGCCATGGCAACGAGCTGTGCGCCAAGACCTGGCTGGGATTGTGGGATCCGAAGCGGGCTGTGCACCAGCAGGAGCAGCGCGAGCTCATGATGGACAAGTATGAGAGGAAGCGGTACTACCTGGAGCCGGCCAGTCCACTCAAGTCCCTGGCCAATGCGGTCAACCTGAAGTCGTCTGCTCCGGCGACAAACCACACTCAGAATGGCCACCACAATGGCTATGCCAGCATCCATTTGACGCCTCCAGCTGCCCAGCGGACCTCGGCCAATGGACTGCAGAAAACGAGTAACTCTTCTGGAAAGTCCTCCTCCTCGATCAGCAGGCCACATTATAATCACCACAACAACAGCCAAAACAACAACCACGATGCCTTTGGCTTGGGCGGAGGATTGAGCAGCCTGAACAGCGCCGGTTCCACATCCACCGGAGCTCTTTCCGACACCAGCAGTTGTGCCAGCAATGGCTTCGGTGCGGACTCCGACTTCGTGGCTGACTTTGGCTCGGCCAACATTTTCGATGCCACATCGGCGCGCTCCACAGGATCGCCGGCGGTGTCCTCCGTGTCCTCGGTGGGCTCCAGCAATGGCTACGCCAAGGTGCAGCCCCTCCGGGCTGCTCATCTCCAGCAGCAACAGCAGTTGCAGCAGCAGCAGCAGCTCCTCAACGGCAATGGCCATCAGGGCACTGAGAACTTTGCCGACTTCGATCACGCACCCATCTACAATGCAGTGGGTAAGTTTCCATCTGTCAGCCCGGCTTTCTACTCCATTCCACTAGTTTTTAGCAACAAAGAAAATGCTTTATTGATCCGCTGTTCAGTCGAAATTATCATGATTTATTATTCTGGATATAATTAAACATTGTACAGCTTAGTCTTTTCGAACCAATCACCCATCGAAGCAAACCAAATTGAACATGTAACGAACGCTAAACGAAATGCAGTAGTTTTCAAATAAGAGTTGTGCAAACACATCCCTACGCTCCTGCACCTGCAGCTTGGCATCCTGAAAGATCCTGCAGCTTGCTTGCGCCCTTCGCTCGCCTTCCACTTCGAGCACCCCACACCAAGAGTTCGCATCCACTTTCTAATATCTCACTGTTTGGCTGAATCCAGCTCCACCGACTTTTAACGATTGGTTCAGCGACTGGAGCAGGCGGGGCTTCCACGATCCCTTCGACGATTGCGATGACTCGCCACCAGGCTCCCGTCCTCCAGTTCCAGCTCCTGCTCCTGCTCAAGTTCCCGCAGTATCATCACCGTTGCCAACCGTCCGAGAGGAACCAGAGCTGGCGTGGAACTTTTGGGAGGAAGAGATGCGAACAGAGGCGCAGGAAAAGGAGCCGGAGTTGGGCTACTCCTTTTCGAATAGTACTCCGCCCCTTTCCCCTACGAATCCCTTCCTGCCCTACCTCATCAATGAGGAGCAGCATCGAAATCATCCAGAGAAGCCCTCCTTTTCGTATTCGTTGTTCAGCTCCATATCAAATAGTTCCCAAGAAGATCAAACGGAAGATCATGAGATGAATATTTTAAATGCCAATTTCCATGATTTCTTTACGTGGAGTAAGTTCTTGATTGCCTTGAGTTCTGTTTTCTGTTATGGTTTCTGTTGCATTTGCCTCGCTCCTTTAATTGATCCTGTTTTGTGCCCTGTTTATGTTCGGTTATGATTGCGAAAACATATCCCCGAAGAGTTTTAAACTGAACTCCCCATGTTGCAGGTGCACCCTTGCAGAACGGCCATGCGACCAGTCCGCCCAAAGGCGGAAGTGCAGCGATGGCGCCCAGTGAGGACCGATATGCCGCTCTCAAGGATCTCGACGAGCAGCTAAGGGAACTGAAGGCCAGCGAAGGCGCCCCGGAAGCGCCCACGCCCACCAATGGCAATGTTCAGGCCACAGATGCCTTCGGTGGAGGTGAGTCCTTCACAGTGCTTTTTTCGAGCGGGCCCCGCTAATTGGCCACTTCTTTTCAGCCCTCAACAACAATCCAAATCCCTTCAAGGGCCAGCAACAGCAGCAGCTCAGCAGCCATGTGGTGAATCCATTCCAGCAGCAGCAGCAGCAACAGCAGAATCTCTATGGCCAGTTGACGCTCATACCAAATGCCTACGGCAGCAGTCCCCAGCAGCAGATGGGGCACCATCTCCTCCAGCAGCAGCAGCAGCAGCAGCATCAACAGCAGAGCTTCTTCAACTTCAACAACAACGGATTCGCCATCTCGCAGGGTCTGCCCAATGGCTGCGGCTTTGGCAGCATGCAACCCGCGCCTGTGATGGCCAACAATCCCTTTGCAGTGAGTATGAGAGCCGAATCCAGAGACTCTCTGGACTGATTCGAATTGGAAAGTGGTGGCAAGGAGGCAATCTGTTAAGAGTGAACGGGTGAAATAAAATAATGAAGAATTCTAGATACGTGTTGTTTTCCCTTTTGGACCTCAACAGTCGCACCTTACCGTCAGATACATCCACGACAGATACTTACAATTCCTCTAATTAGCAATCGTAGAACGTTGTGCGCCGTCCATAGTGATAAACAATATCACAGAGCTGCGTAATTCTCTTTAATAAATATTAATCAAGCAAACAAGCAATCATGTGCACGTTAGGCTGTTTCTCACGTTCCCTTGCCACATTAAATCGAGACAGTCGCCGGATTTCCAGACAGGATTGGTTGCGTCCAGTTCAATATTTGCTAAAGACACCATTCTTTCTTTATATCCCACAGGCCAGCGGCGCCATGAACACTAACAATCCATTCTTATGAGACTCAACCCAGGAGAATTCGCCACGCGCCACCTGGCAGAGGCGCTGAGCCAGCGAACAAAGAGCAGCAGCGGAGGAACCGAACCGAAATTAGTCCATTTTACGAACAATAGCGTTAATCTATGTATACATAATGCACGCCGGAGAGCACTCTTTGTGTACATAGCCCAAATATGTACGCCCGAAAGGCTCCACGCTGACGCTACTCCTGGAGGATGGCGGAGGCGGACTGGGGCGTTGATATATTCTTTTACATGGTAACTCTACTCTAACGTTTACGGATACGGATATTTGTATTTGCCGTTTGCCCTAGAACTCTATACTTGTACTAAGCGCCCATGAACACTTCATCCACTAACATAGCTACTAATCCAGATCCTAGTGGAGGATGCAGTTGGTTTGTTTTGCCTGTCCTCGTACTTGTCTTTGTCCCATTTAGCACTTTCGTTGCGGATAAGAACTTTGTCAGTTATTGATTGTGTGGCCTTAATAAGATTATAACTAAATATTATAACGTACGACTATACATATACGGATACAGATTCAGCTACAGATACAGAAACAGACACAGATATATATGCTTTTGTACCTAATGAATTGCTTCTTGTTTTCATTGCTAATCATCTGCTTTCCGTGTGCTAATTTTATATACTTGTACGTGCGATATCGGCCGTGCAGATAGATTGCTCAGCTCGCGAGTCGAACCTCTATGGTTGCACCCACGGCAGACATTTGTACATATACTGTCTGATTGTAAGCCTCGTGTAATACCTCCATTAACAGCCATCCCACCCCAGCCACCCCACCCAACCCATCCATTCATGCATCGATCGAACCCCCAATCCATGACTCAATTCACTGCTCACATGTCCATGTTCAGATAAGAAGCAAGAATTTTTCCATTTTAGCCTTAACGTGTCAAACATTATCGAAGCCTTAAAGTTATTTAAAACTACGAAAATTTCAATAAAAACAAATAAGAACGCTATCATTGTTTTCTTTTGATTCCTGATGTAGTAGTCCACCCGTGAGATCGTTGTAGAATTCTTCGGCTTTTGTCCTCAAAACTATGCCCAATTCAAAAAATATTTTAATGAATTGGCATACTTTTAGGAAGTCTCTTGACAAGAAAAGATGTGTACAAGTACTGTGCATCATTTCGTCAATGGCGATGTAGCCATCTAACGAAGTAGGAGATTGGGGTGCGGGATTTTCCTGTTTCAAATCGGAAGCTTCTCCTGACTCCAGGATGGAAACGCCGACTCCAAAAAGTATGCTACTGATAGTGATTCCAATGGGTAAGTAACAAATAGCAGGTCGTTTGTTTTATTTGAATGTATTTTTATTCATTTCCGTTTCGGTATAATTTCTAGTTTGTTCTCTTCGTCTTTAGTACTAGTTGGTTTAGCAATTGTTTAAATTACTATAAATTATTTAAGTTTTATGTTACGTAGTCGTATAATGTAGATTTATAATTTAAAAATTCGCGTGTGAAAGAAAAGTCAAGTCATTTAACTGGCAGCCACTCCTTTCTATCGTTCCGTTCCTTCGCTAATTACTTTCCTAGAGCTAAATAAACACAAAATAATAATCGTAATGGTAATAATAAACAAATAATAGCAATAATTGAAAACAAAAGTTAAAGCTGGAATCGCTGCGTTCTACTATCGTAATAATAATCGTAAATAAGAGTACACGTATATCTAGAGATGAAAGAGTGCCTAGGTTAGCATTGCATCAACTGTACAGTATGGCTTATACGCGTATAAGTCGCCGCCCCTCTCCACGCCAGCAAACGATTAGATTATGTTTATAATAATGCGGGGAGCAGACTCCGCCCGGAGATATCAAGTGTATTTGTTTTGCGTGGTTATGTCGTAGTCGATAATTAAATGGATAAATAACAAAAATGACTGTAGGAGCGTATTCCTCACTCTGGCTTTGTGGGTTGAGTGTCCTGGATCCAGGATCAGGATGTCTCACCTATGTATGTACATACACGAAATCGATATCTATGCGGATTGGTTACGATCGTACACATTTTGCTTATGGTAAACGCGGGGATAATAGACATCATATCATATCGTATCATATCATATCTCATATCTCATATTACATGTTCGAGTGTTCTGATTAAAAGCGGCCTCTTTTCTCTGTGTACATAGGGAAGCTACAACTTTGCTTTAGAATATAGTATAATATGTGCACATGTACGGTATGTAAATATGTAAATGTATTGCATGTTGACATCTAGATTTGCTCAAATCGAATCGAATGCAATTATGAGTTCTTGAGTTTTTCGTTTCTCGTTAACATAGCCAATGCGGTAATTAAGCGGTAATTTAGTTAATTCAATTATATAAAAGTACAAAAAGGTCCTTTGGCCGTGGCTATATGTATGTACGGGTCGCATTGAACCAACCGATCTATATACACACGCTGGTCTGATCTAATCCAAAACTGAGTCCATAATTGAATATCCAAACCGAACTACGTTGAACTACACGTCGCGCTGAGCTGAGCTGCCTACAAGTTAGCCTTGGTATATCTTTGTGTTGCATATGTGTGTTGTTGAATACGGGTAATATGAATGCTGAGATGCCGCTGCTCTGGTCCTGGCCTTTCACCCTGCTTACGTGCCATTGGCCTTCGGCAGCGATCGCACCAGATACAGCTTTTCGCCCTGCTTGTTCGTGTAGATGGGCGCTCTTTGGTAGTGATCGACCAGTTGGTCCAGCGAGTGGAACTTCCTCTGCCCAATGCAGTACATATTCTGCTCCACGTGCACGCGGAAGTGCTTGTTGCGCCCTGGGGCCTTCAACGAAACCGAATAGTCACCCATCTGCAAGAAAGAGAGAATTCGTTAACACACCACACCATTCCATAAAAGTTACAAAACAAAATAATTCATGGGGAATTATGTTGTGGCACTTCAATTACGGATTCCACTCACGTTAGTCTCACTGTCTCTGATGAGGAAGTCGCCATCGTGCCCGTGGCCGTTGAGCACCGTGTCGCACTGGCTACGGGTGATGGCGCCATAGTACCACGACTTGCCCGCCAGATTTGGCCGCTCAATTGGCTGGCCGGAGGATTGCGCCGCCGGCTTATTACCCTCATTTCGTCGCTCCATGGAGTCACCTCCTCCGCCGCCTCCTGCTCCGCCGTTACTTCCTCCTCCGTTTCCGTTTCCTGCACTGGCACTCGTGTTACGATAGGGCGTGGCCAGGTAGTCGTTCAACTCTTGGAGATAATTGCGTGGAACTAAACCGACTTGGCCCTGATTGTTGCGAGCTTTGTACCAGTCTGGATCGGAGGCGGGCCGATCCACGATCTCCAGGCGATCGCCTTTCTCGAACGAGAGCTCCTGGTCGTTGTTCGACGTGAAGCTGTAAAGGGCGACCTATATTGGTGAAAAGAATTGTTATTACCATATATAATCTTGATGAGAATGGACTCATTCTGAGAACACGTCCATGCTCTATTATTAACTCGTACACTCACCACAATATCAAGCACGTTCTCGGCCATGGCGTAGGTGTGGATCTCACCGTCGTTATCACAATCCTCCGTTGTGTAGTTGCTGGGGAACCAGCCGACGGAATTGCCGCTCTGTCCACGCCACCATCCGTCGTTGGACTTCTCCAGGATGAGGATACGCGTGCCCTTGGTTAGCGATAGTTCATCGGGCTGCTGGGCCTGATAGTTATACTTGACCACAGCCGTTCCGATGGCCTCTGCGGGATCTGGGGGCAGTCGGCGCGACATGGTTGGACTCTCGATCTGTCGCGAGGGCGAACAATTGGGCAGCGTCTTCGATCCGGAGCCCTTTTTCACCTTCTTCTTAATGCTGCACAGAAATCATAAATCAAAATATTCAGGTTCAGTATTGGGATGATGTTTTTTCGGTTAGATTTCATTGGGGGTTTTATGTTGGGTTAGACTAGCCCTAGTTGGTTTGGGTTAGTGGTTAGTGGAGCTTAGGTTTTAAGGGGCAGGGGCTCGACAGACAACGAAATCAAAACGAATTTGTTGTTTTGAAATACAAAATACAAAAGCCGAAAGCAGTTATAAGTTAAATTACGATAACCAAAGCAAAAGGTGGAGGCGGGTATTTGAACGCGATACAGATACATCTACGGATACGGATACAGATACAGATATAGAGGGCTTAATTCTGCTGAAATCAGAGCAAGAAGAACGCTTAGATTTAGTCGGCCCAGGAATCTGACGCACCTGTCGAAGAGCGAGGGTTTCTCCTTCTTCACATAGTTGCTGGGCACGTAGCCGGACTGGTTGCGGCTGTTCTGGACGCGCCACCAGTGCTTAGAGTCGTCTAGCAGCAGATAGCGCTCGTTCTTGCGCAGATCCAGCTCCTGGGCACCTTGCGCCGCATAGTCGTACTTGGCTACCACGTAGCAGACGTCGTCCTGAGATTTGCCTGCGGGTTGGATAACGGAAGAAATTAGTTTGGTTCGGCTCTTAGAAAAGTACCAAGTGCACACACAGTAAGAAAAGCAAATTGGACCAGAATGAACCTCAAGTTCCGTAGCATAAAGTGATTGTTAACGGTGCAGCATTCGTATCTGTCGACCGCTGCACCGTTTACAAACAGCTCTACGAATCCCAGATCTTTATACTAAGCCCAATGCTCTTCTCGCTGTGAGGCTACTGTGCTGCAGTTGCTCACCGTGCTTCATGTTGCCCGCCATTGATTGGGTTCCAGCGTTGCCGGCGGCACTGCCACTGGAGGAGTTGCCGCTACCGCTTCCGTTGGCGCTACCGCTGCCGTTGCCGCCGCAGTCGAGCGCTGGCTGGCCGAAGGTCACACTTTTGTGCTGGGCGCTGCAGGAGGAGGCGGTGGACAGGGTGCGGTGGTGGTGCAACTGCTGTTGCTGGGAGAGCGAAGAGTGGCGCTGGTGGTGGGCAGGTGAGCCGGGAACGGGCACAGGCACCTGGGGACGGTACTGGTAGATCTGATTCTGGTTCTGGTTCTGATTCTGGTTGAGATTCAGATTAAGATTCTGGTGCTGCGGCAGCTGTGGCGGATGCTGCTGCTGCGGATATTGCTGCGAACTGGCTGAGGAGTCGGGGATGTTGCGCACGAACCGCTGGGGGTGTTCCAACATTCCAGACTGGCTGCTCCTCCACCGCGGGGGGATTCCTGCTCCTCCAGCTGGGACTGCCCTGATGCTCCTGGTGCTGCTCCTGGAGGCAAGAGGCGGTGGCTCAGTGTTGGTGGACTTGGAGTTGGGGTTGGAGTTGATGAACAAGTCTTTGATGGTTTGGTTATGTGTTGCAGTTGCTCGCTGGCACTCTAAGCTTGCTGCAAATCGCCTCTAGCCAATGCATAATTGCTGTGGGCGTGGTTTCAAGGGGCGAATGGGCGTGAGCGCGGGCGGAAGCGTAGGCGTGGCAACGTAAACATAAGCAACGCAATAACATAAGCAATGAACGAAGAAAGAAAGAAAAAGAGAGCAAATGATATATGCAAATTAGGCTTAATTGTTTAGCACTCAAGAAGCTAAAAAGCGTGAAAATGATTAGCTTAAAAAATACAATGCAAGTACTCAAACACGAAATACCGAATAGGAAATCAACTCAAAATTAGCCGAGAGATGAAGGTTTGTTTTTGGGGTCAGCGAGCCGGCGATGAAGATGAAGATGAATGAGTGGAGTGTTTGTGTTATGATGATCATGATGATGTTAGTTTGAGCGGGAGATGGATATGGGGCTGAGGGATCTGGCCATTCCAGTTGTGGGGCAATTAAAATCTGTGCAAGTGAAAGTTGCCTCCGCCTGACTCCACTCAATTGAATCCAATTGCCAGGCGAACAAATGAGTGGCCATCGGGTACTGATTTGTTCACCGAGGCTGCTGGCTGGAGAACCAGAGACTCGAAATCCGGGCCATTTCAGGCCGAGAAAGACACAGAAATCAACTGAGACATTCGACCGCAATGAGTCACGAACGGGAATGGTCGGCGGTATTGGGAAATTGGTTTCTTGGCCGAGATTCGCCGAGTGACATAAGGCAGTTAGCGGGCGGCGGAGAAGGTTATTCCGGCCAGAGATCTCTAGAGAGGCTTCCCGAGTTCGTTGGCCAGGTTGGCCAGCCAGCAAAATCAAAGTCAATGTCATAGCCGCGGGCCATCTTTGGATAATTAAAAATCAATAAGTGTGGCCCACGCCGAGAAAAAACACTCAACTCGGGCTTTGACTCTAGGCCAACTTTGGTTTCCCTTTTCTATGATTGTTAGATCATACCCGAGAGGCTGAGTCAGCTGAAAGTGTTTCCGAAAGCTGTATTATTCAATACATTCAATTCTTGCAGTTCTGCGCAATACCTATTAGCAACTGACCTAGAGTTTCCTTAGAAATCCGTATATAACAAATCTTCTCCGTTGAAATTCCAGTCGAGCTGTTGGAATCGTTGCCATAATAATTTCCATGTGATAACGAGTGCTTTTGTTTATTTACCATCGATTAGTCAAAGATTCTTGCGTTAGCCGAGATACGGACGAGCTCCTGCTCAACTGAAGAACTGGTCACAAAGTGATTCACTTTTCGCTGCTACTGTTTGCGTTTTTCCCTACTTCTTGAGCGGAGAAAGCGGGAGTGGAACCGTAACCGTAGCCGTAACCAAACCCAGATAGCACGGAGAAAGAACCCGAAAAAGATTATGTTTGTGCCAATGCTCGAGTGATAAGGGGGCGGTTCGGTTCGGTTGTGTTAGGTTGGGGACTTGGTAAACATGAAACGCCTGGCTGGCTGGCTGCCAATGAACTGAAATGCACCACCGTTGGATTCGGATTGGTGTTTGGATTTCCTTGGCTTGGCGATTGTTTTGTTATTGTTTGCGCTTGCATATGCCCACCAGCCGAGACATTGACATTACACTGCCTATAAAAGCCAATGAAATCGGAAGGAAACTGAATTTGATCATCTGTTTGTGAATTTACTGATAAGATTGGGTTTTGTTAGGGCGGAGAATAAGTGAAATTCGTTGGTCTTATCATGAGAAATGATAAAAAAACATAATACGTGTGCTACTATCCGATAAGATTCACTACTGTTGGTGCAACAACATTACAGGGAATAAAGGAATATACATACATATGTATATTTTTAGGAATTCCACTGACTTTGCCAACTGTGAGTGATATGATTTCTGCTGTAAACATGACTAATGTGTCATGATTTGTTAGATTCCTGTATGACATATATGTTTTTTCCCGTGCACTCGCTCATTGTTTTCTTGACAGCAGTTCGTCTTTTCGCTGAGGGAAAGAAAGAGTTGCACGTGCTTGGGGGACAAGCCCACAAGTTTATGAGGCGGAAAGTTTGTTTCCCCCGGTTGTGTCTGCGTATTGGTTGAAGATCGGTTCCAGGCGAGGGAGTATAGCCACTGGTCCCCAAGAAAAGCCATCACGAACAAATTGGTGGCCCCGAAATGGGAGCATTTGGGCCTATAACATTGAGTTACGACTTGGGTGGATGGGGCAGGCAAGGAGGAACTGAAAGTGGGGCACTCTTATCTGGATCTTGGGGCGTGGGAGGCAAAGGGCAGCCTGTTTACATAAGATCACTCATTCAGCGGGCTGAAAGTTTACTCCCGAGTTGATTAAGTAGATGCATTTGCTGGGGAATGGGATTCGAATGGGGTTTCGTTTCGTTTTCGGTTTTGTTTTTTGTACTTTCTGGCTTTTGTTGCCGAGGGAGTTTGTGACATTTGCCGGCCGTTTCGTTCAGAGATGCTGCGCAAAATCTCAGCGAGGTGGTGGCTTTTTGGCAGCGAGAGGGTGGACTTCTCGTCCTGCAAAGGATGGCAGGACTCGAGGCCAGTGTTGATAAGAGTACCAGCTCTTGTACCTGGGATAGGCTTTTGAAAAATACAAGTACCTATTATAGAGGTATTTGAGTAACGCCCTAATTTTAGATCTAACTACAAACTACTCATATTTAACGACATTTTTATGTTTAATCTATTTCCATGTTCATTCAAGACGAATCCAACCCATCTGGACAAGGAAAAAGGTACTTATTTAGCTCTGCAATTTGGGAGCTCTGCAACACTGGCATTTCGGTGGCACAGTTAGCCGTAAACACGACCATGGTTACCCAAAAAAAGGTGATGGGAAGCGGAGGGTTAAGGGTTGCTGCACCGCCCACTGGGAGGGTGGTGGACCGAACCAAAGGACTCAACACCACCAGGTGACGAGGGCGAGAGACAGAGAGAGAGCGCAGGTCAAGAGAGGGAGAGAGAGCCGAGAGAGATTCGAACAGGAGCTAAAAAGGAGCAGCCGAATATTTTGTGTGTACCTACCGGAGACGAAGCGGTTGGACTGGCAACTCCTATATTCCTCCTGGATCTCCTTATCCTGGCACTCCTTATCCGTATCCGTATCCTTATCCGGGAAGTCCTAGACCGTATTTCTCAGCCTTAACCCTTAGCAATCCTCAGGATTTGGGACAGGAAGACATGGGCTAAGACACTGCTCCTGGAACTCCTGGAACGCACTCTATTTCACTTCCACTTTCCACTGGGCTATTGCACTTTACACACACTTAAAACACAACTTTAATTATAATACACCTAGCCGTTAGTGTGTGTGTGTGAGTGGGGCGGGGGTGAGCGTGTGTGTGTGTACATATGCTGCTGCCGCGATTGAAAAACACACAAATCCTGGCAAATAAACGCTTTTCCACGCTTCTGATCACCGCACACGTTAACTACGTTAAGTGGCAAATTGTTTGCACAATTTTGCAGCGCTCCCTTGCGGTTAACTAATTAAATTTTAATGATTTCGCCGGAGCCGTTTCTTTCACGTCGCCCATCCGATTTCGATATGCGGAAGGCGATAGCGATTGACCAGGACTAGGGCTGTCAGGTGGCCAGGCAGCGGGGATTTCTCCGCGAACTATCGATATATACTTTACGCCCTCTGCAACACTTGTCCGGTCATCGAGGCTATCGATATTAGGTGGCGTTATTTGTTATGATTTTTGGTTGCACGGTTTTTATCCGGAACACCATGCTGAAAACCCGGACATTCGTTCTCTGCATCAGCAGATCGTACACTGCCAAGGCGAAAAGGACTGTTCTGGCGCAGGACAAGACGAAGATCAAGGAGTACTCGCCGAAAACGATGGATAGCCATGAGCACCGAGTCTACGTGTGGGGCTTTCAGGAAACCGGAGCCCTCGGCATCCAAACCAACGTGAAGAAGGCCAAGGAACGCTACACGGAGATGGTACATCATCCCACCCGATTGCAGTTCTCCAACAACAACGAAATCACGGACGTGGCTGCCGGCTACGGATTCACCGCATACGCCGTAAAAAGAGATGACGGAGAGACGCTTTTTGGCAGCGGTTTGAACACTGACTCCCAGCTAGGCTTCCAGGTGAAGGGAAATCCCTATGATCCAGCCAACCTGGATGTGATCATCTATCCCACAGCCATAAAGCTACCGAGAGTCCAGGGAGAAACTGATGACGACATGCGTGTGAAGAGCATGTCGGCGGGTAGAGCTCATCTGGTGGTTCTGACACAGAATGGAACCATTTTCACCCTAGGAAACAATTCTTACGGCCAATGTGGACGCTCCATCATCGAGGAGGAGCGGTACAGCAAGAGTGCCCTGGTCCACAGGATATCGCAGGAAGACATATGCGGCAAGGAAGATGAAGTGCTCCAGGTGGAGTGCGGCCAGGATCACAGCATGTTTCTAACCAAAAAGGGACGCGTTTACACCTGTGGCTGGGGTGCGGATGGACAAACAGGGCAGGGAAACTACCATACCGCTGGGCAGATAACCCTGATTGGAGGAGATATTGAAAAGGAAAAAATTGTGAGGCTCAGCTGCTCCTCGGACTGCGTTTTGGCCCTCAACGAGGCGGGCGATGCCTTTGGCTGGGGCAACTCGGAGTACGGACAGCTAGATGACTCTGAGCTGGCCGAAACCCAAATAAATATTCCAAGAGCTCTCAAACTAACTAAGTCCATCGGAAAAATCAAGGATGTGGCTGCGGGAGGCTCATTTTGCATGGCTCTCAATGACCAGGGTCTGGTGTACACCTGGGGCTTTGGCATCCTCGGTTTCGGACCCTTCGTGGAGCAAACATCCAAGCCACAGCATCTTTTGCCGCCTCTATTCGGTCGCAATGACTTCAGCAACGAAACCACTGTGGTTTCCATCGGATGTGGAGTATTTCACATGGGCGCCGTCAACTCGGACGGAGACCTCTTTATGTGGGGCAAGAACAGGTTCGGGCATCTGGGACTGGGTCACAAGAAGGATCAGTTCTTCCCCTTCAAGACGGCCATCAATGGAAAGGTCACCAAAGTGGCCTACGGAGTGGATCACACCATTGCCTTGTGCAAGGCGTTTTTCTAGATTATGCTGTTTGACTTAGGTTAGTTCATTTAAAATACACTCTAGTCGCAAGTACCATTGCCCATGGCAGCCCAACCCATAACAAGAATAAAGAGAACTGTTAAAGATCACAAATTCGCGTTTAATACATGTAAGTAGTTTTAAAGAACATTTAGATTAATTTATTTGTTTCTCTGACGCATGCTGATAGTTTCCGTTCCACTTTGCTTTCCGGCTGGTTTTTGGTTTTGGTTTCGCTGTAAATAGCTTCGATCTGAATCCGTTCTATACATTAATTGTTGGAATAGTTGAAGAGCGTATATATAAAATATGTACTTGGAATGCCGCAGTGTGTCTGTGCGTGTGTACCGATCCGTAATCTGATCCAATCTCTTCACATCCTTTTTAACCCGCACTCGAGGCTAATACATTGAACGTATGTATTTGTCACAATTTCGTCGATCGCTTTTGATTGCGTTCTAGGTACATTTTCGTTACGCTTCTTTACTAGGGTCTATGACACGCTAAACTCGCTTGGCCAATGATGATATATCCACCCGGAATGGGGTGGGTGTCCTGCTAACCAGTGGTAACCAGATTTAGACTTGTAGGCATGGCTCTTTGAAGTTCGAACAGGTCTCCTCGCTCCGCTAAATGTATAAATTGATTCTAAGTAATAATTTGTTTAGGTTTTGTATTCATATGGGTGTTGTAGCTTAAAAGATCCTCCTCCAACGCTCAGGCATGTTGGTTAGCCTCGTTGGCCTCGTAGGCCTCCACCTCGGCGATATTGGCCAGGTCGTACTCGACGACGCCCTTGCCCATGAACTCGGCGTACTTGGCTGACTCCGGCAGCGGATCAGCCGACCTCTTCGAGACTGCAATGGGTCAAGGAATGGATAAGTAAAGTTACGTGCAACTGTAGCCACAAATACTCACCGCCAGAGACGAACTTCTCCATCATATAAACCTTCATATCGAAGCATTCATTGGCAATCCGCTCCGAGATAAGCGAGACATCAGTGATGCGGGGCATGACCACGCGCATCTGTCGCCGCACGCGCTCCGTATCTATGTTGTAGTAGCCAGTGCTCATCTTCTTCATGAGATCCACGAAGCTGGTCGGGGGCAGGGTCGTGTCCCGATCCAAAGGCATGATGAAGCACCGCCCGGTGGTGGTGTCGATGATGGCCGACTGGTTCTCCTTGAAGTCGTGCATGAAGCGACCTCGTCGTCCATCCTTAAAGTCTGGAACATCCACCCGTGCGTAGCCGTCCTCATCGCTGTCGCCATCCAGTTCGACGTCCTCGCGGAAGAAGCTCTCGTCCAGCGATCCCATGTTGGAATTTGGTTTCGCGAACTCCGGCAGCAAGGAGCGCCAGTTCAGGGCGAACGGGTCTACGGTGCGCGGGTACACCCGCGCCATCTCCATCGTGTCCTCCGGATAGGGAATCTCGCACAGGGCATGGTAGCGCATGCTGCTGTGCGAAGGAGCGTATACTCGGTACAGGGTCCATCCGCCCAGGACACCCAGGAGCATCACGACCACGGCGATCAGGAACAGCAGAAAGGACTTGAGGCAATGGTGCTGCGGCCGGTTGAAGACCATGGATTCCGCGTCGGCTTCATTGTCGCTGTAAGCGACCTTGGGCTGTGCGAGGAAAATTGGGGTTTAAGCAAAGGGGATTTTAAAATTGGGACTCCTTTAGGAGTCACTCGCAATTTCGAAGGAAAAGTACTTTTATTTGTAGTCTAACGTTATCTAATTATGAAATTTATTTAAATTAGCGAAATTTTATATTTGTTTGCTTATCAGCCAGTCGTGTTTCAGTCGAAGTTTCGAAGGAAAAGTACTTTAATTTGTATTCTAAAGGTATCTAATTATGAAATTTATTTGAAATGAGCGAAATTTTATATTTGTTTCCTTATCAGCCAGTCGTGATTCAGTCGAAGTTTCGAAGGAAAAGTACTTTTATTTGTATTCTAAAGTTATCTAAAGTGACCGAAATGTTATATTTGTTTCCTAATCAGCCATTGTTTCAGTCGAGTCATAAAAACGACGACAAGTCGTTGAAAAATACAAATGAAAAGCACTTGAATGTTGACTGAAATGTTAATAGTGTATATTGCACAAGTCTAAATTTGCTGAATATTATCATACACTTATATTATCTGCCAGCTCAGACGCATACAATTATTGCAGTGTTTCATCTTTTTCCATAAACAATTCAATCTGCGTGGCTTAGTTTACTTTGACTCAGAAGATACGTCGTTAGCAAGAGATTGCTAATGTGGATCTGCCTTCCACAAATTAATTAATTTCCCTGCCACAAATTAATCAATTGAAAACATTTGCATGCACTAGAGTGGACCTTATTTGACCAGCTAGTGAATATATATTAATCTATATTCTGTATTTTGTATCTCTGTATTTATGAATCGTAAAAGTTCAAATTGCACGATTAGTAATATCTCCGCAGAATGCAGTAAACTGTTGACTGTGCGAATCGTAGAAACCCGATACAGCTCGCAGATGCGCAAATGGGCTGGGAGGTAGGTATGATTAAGAATATGAGGCTTATGACTGCCAGCTGATAAGACACAACTTTCTATTTCCACTCCGTGCTCGCACACAAATCGAGGCCAAAGTGCACAACGTCAGCACTCAAAAGGCTGGAATTGGCACCGAAAGTGGCTTTCCCCAGTCGTCAGGGGCAATCTCCACCAGCAACAGGAAAACCCTCCGCGCTGACCTCGGGGAGCGAGCAAGTCCTTGGCGGGGAGAGCCCAGGAAAGTGAATGGGCACACGTCACTTGGAGTGGAGCAGAGTGCAGAGGGCGGAGGGCAGAGGGCGGTGGGCAGAGGGGGGCCACAAGGACACCGAGGAGTGCGGAGCTTCGGCGAGGAAAAATCGATGGCGAGCTGCAGAGGCTGTAGTTCGGATTCCGAATCGGATTCCACCTGCCCCCAGCGCCACCCACTCATCACGAAACTTGTGGCTCTCGGGCCGAAGGACATGGACGTGGATGTGGACATGGCGCGAGGGGTGGACAAGGACACAGAACGATTGCGCAAAAATAGGGCCACATCTCGCAGATGCGACGCCATGCAAAACTCACTGCGATTAGGGAGCCATGGTGCATGAGGGCCTCGTCGTTGAGGTTCATGGGCAGGGGCACCTTCTCCTGGTCCGTGGGCTCTCCCCGCAGTTTTCCAAGAATTGTCATGGCTGCTCGACTGTATTCTGTATTCTCGACGACTCCGAACGACCACTTTGTTTGTTTTTACTAAAGATGTAGTGCGCAATTGTTGACGAGCTGAAATCTCGATCCAGACGACCCAGGGTGACCAGTTCTCAGTCGCGGAGTTACCCCTCCGAAAATGTGGCCAAAAGTAAGCCGATTCTGGAGTGGTTGCGAACTCGGATAAGACGATTTGCCGCCAGAAATTCAAAACTGAATTCGACTAGGAATTTAGTCCTACAAACAGAAATATGATACTTTTTTTGAAACACATCAAATGTATTTCGGAGTTGTAGTTCAATGTAAGGGGGAAATGGTTTTTAGTTAAAAACCAAAACAAACATCTAAATTCCGTTCCAAAACAAACTGCTTTACTATTATTTTAATGGAAGTTTATTTCGCTGATAACACAATACGTTCTACTGGCAGTTTTTGGGGCATTTTCGAAAATGCAAGCGAGTTTTCTTAACATACACTTTAAACACAAAATGATTAAAACGTTCACCTGCGGCAGTTAGGATCCTACGACCTCTGGACTACACAGCGGTCCTTACAGACCCCTTTTCGACCTTTATTTCTGAACTCTTACAGTCTAATCATACAGAGCAGAGCGTCCTACTTATGACTATGTTGGTTGGAGAGAAAGGCGAGGTGGCCTTTGGGACACTTGTTCGCGTAGTGACCCTTGTTCCCGCACTTATAGCAGGTGATCTCCTCCAGAGGTGTGGGCACCTTGACGAACCCGGAACCATGCGACTGACTGTGGTGATTGGATTGAATGTCATCGGCGCCCTCAGAATGACCGGAGTGTCCAGAGTACCCGCCGGAGTGGTCCATAGCGTTGATATTGTTGCGGTGCTCCAGGCTGCCCACATACTGCTTGCACGAGTTGGCCTTGTGGCCCACTTCGCCGCAATAGTGGCACGTGGGCAGTTTCTTGTGCAGCTGATCCTTACCCAGTTCCGCCAGTGGGGGCAGCTCGAAGTGGGGATGCATGTGCTTGCAGGACGGGCCCTCGGGGCAGAAGCCCGCCAGATAGTCCATGCACAGGACACGCCGCAGATGCTGGTGCCGACAGTGGGGACCGTGGCGGCAGAAGCCTCTTTTGTACCAGGGGCAGTCCTTAACCTTGCTCTGGGGGTCGATGTGCAGAAAGGGGCACTCTTTGTTGTGGCAGGCGTTGAACCTCGAGTAGAAGTAGCACTCGGGCATCTTGGTCATGTCGTACTCGTGCAGAAACTCGCACTGGTCCCCCTTTTTGCACAGTCCTCTCAGCCAATGCTTGCACACGATCGTCCTGTCCCCGCGAATGTGTCGGAAGGGGCAGGCACTTCCCTTGTCGCACTCCTGGCCGTTTCTGGTGATGAAGTTGCAGACCGCCGCAATGGACTTGTCCATGCCGTAAAAAGGCAGCGGAATGGCGCCCACCTGCTCGATGAGATCCCGCTCCGCCTTGAACTGCAGCCCACTCACGTTGGCCAAAAGGATGTCCATCTCTGCCGGACTCGTGGATTCTCGGATAGATGAGGATGCTTAATAACCTGGTAAACAAAGTAGTTTCCCTTATTTTTTTTTTGCGCGTGTTTTGTTGTTTCAGTGCGAATAGTGCTGACACGCAACCGGCGTTATCGATATCGATAGTTGGCAAGGTATGACAGACATAGGCCGTCTGGCTGTTTAATAGCCAAATTTAGCAAATAATACAAAAATTTTATGTATTTATTATAAGCTGTTTCTTTATCTCTAAATTTGTGTAATTTTAAGTATATAAATAAAAACACTTTCTTATGAACTTGCTTAAATCAACCCCCTGTAATAAGAAATAAGATATTTAGCTATTTAAGTCATTTCATATTGGCCAGCACTGTTGGCGGCTAAAGCATTGCATGGAAATTAAGTATCCGCCCCGTTAGTGTTGATGATAAAACGGCTTATCTACAATTAGGCAGGACGGTTTCACAAATTGCACTTACACAATAGCACGACTTGAAGACTTTTAAATTAAAGCATTGAGCTGTGATAAATTCGATAATCAACCACCCCCGCTGCCAGAGGTCGATAGTCAGCTGGTATCGATCACTTGTTTACAACTTTCGCAATGTTTACAACGTAAGCAATTCGCGTGATAAGCTATTAGTTAACTTGGGAGCGAGGAACTGAAAAATGTGGAGCGAGCGCCGCTGAAGGAACCACCCAACCAACCAAACACCCACGTAGTCCACCCACTCCAAAGATCAAATGCTGCCTACTTACGAGCGTTTCAGTGATCCCAAAAGCGTTCTCTTCCGGCTTCCCTTCGCGAGATTGGCACTGGTGGCTCTCAGTTTGCCCCTAGGAGGCTTCTTCTTCTGCGTGATTTGGTCTCTGACCTTTGACTTCGTGAGGAGCACCTACACCCACTGCGATGTGACCAACTATCTGCCCTCCGTCTCGGCGGCCATTGGGAACTATGAGCCCCAAAAAACCGTCTGGAGACTGGCCATCTTTCTGCATTTACCACTCCGTTTGGCAGTGGCCAAAATCTATTTGGAGCACTACCGAGAACACATCCGCCGGAGCAGAAGATTGCTGGGCATCCTGGCCTGCATCTTGAACGTGGTGGAGGATCTGGCCCTCTTCTGCTTGTCTTTTTGGACCTCTGCGGATCACTACGAGACTCACAGGAACGCGTTTGTGGTGTTCATTGCCTGCTCCGAGTGCTATATGTTGGTTTCCTACCTGCTGAACAGGAATATCCGGAAGACCGTGCTCTTGCCACACGAGGAGAAGTCGCTGAGGTACAAGAGGAATCTGTTCTTGGTAAATGTGATGGCCTTTGGCATGGCAGGATACTGCTTCGTGAGGCACAATTCACATTGCGAAGCGGGAGGTGAGTGGGAATCCGCTTAGACTCCAATATTGCGATCCTGAACTTTTTATTCTCGTAGTCTACACATTCTTCGCGTTGTTCGAGTACATCGTAGTACTGACCAACATGGGCTTCCACATGACCTCCTACTGGGACTTTTACGCCCTGAACGTGGTGTGCGATTCCAAGCACGGTCTTTACCTATCACAATCGTAGGCCAATGCAATATATCAATCCCAGCCCACGCCGCCATTTCAGCCAGCCAGTCGTCCTCGAGTATTGTGTACATACGCGGTATTAGCTTAAGCTCAATGTTTACTTAATTTTACCAAAAGGAAATTGCTTACGAGGGATTCCGAGAGGAAACGATTCAGTATGACAGGATCTGATGCATACACACGCTTTTAGCTTTAGGCTCTAACACGATTTTACACCTAAAGGATCTAGTTTAATTCAAACCGAGTTCCATCATTATGTAACGCATTATTTATACACATGCTCAGTAAGGAACCAGACTTTAATAAGGTTCTATTTTATACGTTCTGAATTAGCGATTGGCTTTAATGTTCTAACTTTTTATTCTCTAAGTCTAAAATTGTATTTATTAGAATTCAGATTAATGGCGAATTTGAACTTTTTAATTGCTTCTAAATCTTTTGATACCTGTGGAACAGTTCTCAGGTCTTTTAGTCAGCTATAAAAATTTAAAATCAAGCACAATGTAGTATTGTTGGGCTTATAGAAAATTTGATTGTCTTAGTTTTAAATGTCACTTATTGAGTGTCCTACTTTGTCTAGAGGGATAACAGAAATCAAGTGTAGAGTTGCCCTGACCGACATTTCGTAGGATTTGCTTCATTAAAATGAAGCTTTTGCCCAGCTCCGTCAAGGATTTGCAGGCGAGGTGGCATTTCCCCCTCCCAGTTGGTCCGCTTCTCGCACTGGGGCTTTTGCAGATGCCCGTTTGCATGGCATACAACCTGGTAATGGCCATCACAACGGACTTCCAGACCACCACGTATACCTCCTGTCAAGCCTTCAACATATTTCCCTCTACATCAGCGGCTGCCAGGTCTCAGCACAAAGTATGGGCTCTGGCTTGCTGGATGGAATTCCCGTTTCTCGTTGCCAGTGCATGTCTGCAGTTCCGCTTCTATCGGAGGAATCTGCCCAAGGCGGTGCGGAGTTTCGGCTGCCTGATGGCCATCTTTATGGCTGTCAGTAGTTCCAGTATGCTGCTATGGGGCACCTTTGCCCAAGCAGATGGTGACTCATTGCTGCACACAGCCATCGCCCTGTCGCTATTCGTATCGTGCGCCATTTACATGGCAGGTTCCTTTGTGTGCGCCAAGTACTATATGAGCGAAAGGAGTGGACAGCGGCATGAGGAACTTTCCTTGCGGCTGAAGAGCAGCCTGGTGCTCACCTACTACGTCTGGGTGGTGGTCATGTGGATCTTTTACTTTTTACACCAGAAGTTTTGCTTTCCCTTGGGTGAGTAGAATCTAATCGAGAGAGGAAATGTTCATAATTCTAATGCCCGGATCCAATGCAGCGTACTCCGTGTTCGGTATGGGCGAGTTCATATCCTGCGAGTGCTTCTGTATTTATCTGTGCATGGCCTACTTTGACTTCTACCACGTATACATATGCTACGATCAACGTTTGGGATTCTTCCTCAGCGAGATGTGAACAGTTCCCAATTGCTTATGAAATGTATTAAACAACAACATACAAAAAACACAAAAAGATTGCTTAACGTTACGTCTCGTAGATGCGCACCAGGTCGTCCAGACTGATGGGATACTGGGTGACTGGGCAGGTGCCGTGCTCCTTCATGTGGCTAACGATGCACTTCCAGCAAAAGACGTATCCGGACACAGAGCAGGCAGTGGGCGTCTGGATGGCCAGCAGGCAGACTGGGCATTCTCCCCTCTGGGGAAGGCTTTGCTGCACTTCCTTGGGAAGCTGCTTTCTTGGCATCGCTTCCGGATTAATCAGGGTTCCACCTACTTTGCGTCGCTGGTCGTTGGAGTACCACCACTGGACAAACTGGAGGAAGAAGGCCAGGACCTCAAGCATTTTGAGCACCACGTAGGTCCACTGATCCTCCTTGGGAGGTTCACTTGGATAGCGAAGGGTCAGGCCCAACAATCTGAAGATGGGCGAGTGGTTTGAGGCGTACTTCACGAGATAAAGGAATGTGTGTACCGCCTTGGCGGCATGGAAAGCATGGAATGCGCTTAGGAGTCGTTGCTCCCAGGGACTTGTCTCCTCGTGCCTGGTGATCCTGCTCCTCAACTTTCGCTCCACGTAAGGCATGAAGGTTAACAGTGTTGCAGAGGCGAGCTGCTGCCTGCGGTTCAGCAGGTCCCCTGTGTTTGTGACCGTTCTCTGCAGTCCGTAGAAGCTTTCCCCGAAGGAGGAGGCTCTCTTTCGCAGATACAGGTACTGCAGCAGCCAGGTCAGCAGCGGCGACAGCTCCTCCTGAATCCTCAGACTCCCCCAGAGTTTAAAGTCCAGGCGCAGTCCGAAGTAGTCGAATATCTTGCTGAGTGCCGGATAAATCAGGTTGTCCAGCGTCTCCGCCGCCGAAATTTCGAAGATTGACGGCACATTCTGGAGGTTCTGGCGCACATTGGCGGCTTCTGCCATTGTTGTTTATAGTATTTAAAGGAAACAAATAAGTTCGAATGCAATTTGTGTTGTTATTCTTATCAGTACTGGTTGATATCGGCTTTGGCTTGAAAAGAGTCGGCTGTTCATCAATATATCGATAAGTCGCTGGCACCATCGATAGTTTTGTTAATAATCTGGCGAGATTTGTTTATCTTATGGTGCAGCTACATTGTTTATTTACCAACTGATACAAATACATACATTTATGTGTTATATACAACCAAGATGAAAACCTCTGGCGTCGGCAATCCTGACGAGCTGAACAAGTCGTCGCACAGCAAGGTCAGCAAGAAGTCCACCAAGTCGCGATCCAAGTCGGCGAAATTGGAGTTGACTGGGAAGAATTCCTTATCGGCATCCACATCATCCTCTTCCGCATCCGCAGTGAGCGGGGGCGTTGCGGTGGGCAGCCTGCCGGCCACGCCCACCCACCTAAACATGGTGACAACGCCCACCACGCCAACTTCCAGTCTGGGTAACTACAATCTCTTTGACGCCTCATTTGCGGTTGCAGGAAGCGGTGGGCACGGACTCGCAGGCGGCATCGCGGGCGCAGAAGCCTCCGGCAACTCTAGTCGAATGGTAAGAACACCACTCTCAAGGGACTCTCATAGTACCAACGGTCTTTACTTTAGGGTCATCAGAAGAGCTATGCTGGCTTCGATCCGCGCAGTATTAAGATATTTTGGGAGCAGCACGACCAGACCGATGTCGAACTGTCCCAGGATGTTTGCGCCCGTTTGGCGGAAGATGCCTCCTACAAAGTCTGGGAACTGATCAATGTATGTCGGCCGTGTTACATCTCTTTACTCTCTCTAACCTCCCTGTTTCTCAGAATGTCAAAATATACTCTCGCCACTCGGGCGGAGTGGTAACTTACGATCTGGTGAACGAAGTGCTTAAAGATGCCGATGTGCCGCCCATGCTGGGTGCGATGGACAGCGATTGGGACCGGATCGACTATGACGGCAGTTTCTACTTTCACTCGGACAAGATCTTCGAACTGAGCGCGGAGTTTCAGAAGGAAATTAATCTGTGCACCCCCGATGATGCAGACTTTCAGAGCATCTGTCCCGTGGAAGATAAGAACACGGATCAGCTAAGACAGTGCGTCCAGAGTCTGGTTACGGCAGCGCTTTTCGCGGACAGTAAAACCCAGACGGCCGCCGTGTGCCATGCTTTTCAAACGCCCCTGATGGGATCCATCTACCGAGTGATAGTGAGTAAGATGGTCCAGTTGCTGGCCTTTAAGCAGCAGGACCAATTGAGCCAGAGATGCTGGCGACTGCTCCGTGCATGCAACTACAACGCCACTGCTAATCACAATGCCTGTCGGCCGGAGTACTTCAACCTAGCAGAGGTACTTGTCAGCCAGCTAATGGCGCCTTACGAAACCATCAAGGCTCCACCGGTCGACCCAGTTCCAGGACAAACAACCTCTATCAAAATGGAGTTTGAAGAAGAACTTAAGGTTGAGCCCGAACAGTGTCATAATCCGGAAACTCAGGAAAATCCGGATGTCATGAAGGTAGATAAACAGGAGCAGGATCCGCAAATGTTTACGGGTGAAAACACCACGGAACACACAATCTACAAGCTGCAATCGGAGGAGGAAGAAATGAATCCCCAGCCGGAGACAGAACACCTGTCAAGTTACTTTGCCAGTCCAGTCGGAAGTGGCCTAGTTGACGAGTTGTGTGAAACTATAGGACAGCTGTCATCTCAAAGTGGTTACCTGCAAGCAGAGTGCCTGTTTTTGATCAAAAGACGCCTAGCGAGATTCTTCGAGGGCCGCCATGTTTGCAGTGAGAGAGGTAAAGCATTAAGCACCTTACTATTTGTTAGCTTGGATCCTAATATATGGATTTCTCAATTAAGACTTTAGCTACATCAGTAGAGCAGTGCGTGGTCTTATTGCCCTGGGAGAATATGCCTTTCGTGAGTTTATTCCGTACATCTACAAGCTTAGCGTCGAGGAAATCCCGGATAGTCTGTGGTCAGATCTAGCACCGGCTGCCATTTTCCTGGGCGGCCGAGATGACGTATACCTGTATGAGTGGCTGGAGCACGGATGCGGTGCTGCTCTGCAGCCTTTCCTGGTCCACTATGCGCGTAAGAAACACCAGACTTTTCCATGAAAAGCTGTTAACTAAAAATAATTGCAGGAGCCTATGAAAAGATGGTAACTAGGCGGTATGTGAAGGCCAAACAACCCGCTTACAGGATAGAATCAGTGCCGGGAGTGCGTCGGCTGGAATGGAGTACCCTTGCGGCAGCCATGTGTCACGGGGACGATCCCAGCAAGGCACTCAAACCGAAGCCTACTCTCAGCGAGGCTTTCCCAGACCTCCAGTCACCGAATCTTCAGCTCAACTGCGCGGGCAACATCCGCTTTAAGTTCGCAGGCTGTCGCCCGGTGCTGCTAAAGCCGAAGGTTTCGACTGTTCCTCACGCGGCAGATTCGCCTTCCTCGACAGCGAACGGCGGTGCGGGTGGCGGTGCAAGCTCCGATATCCTGATCGCCAAACGAAAACTCTTCAAGCCGCTGACGAACGTGAGAAAGTGGTCGCCCATCAGTGGCTATCACTACCTGAGGATATGAAAAGGGTTTAGAAAAGTATTTTAAGACCTTTTGGAGGTCCAGGCGGAGACCTGGGGATCTCAATAAAACTCTTCGTTTACTTTAGTCTTGCTCTTCGGTCTTATGAAAGGCGAATTGGATTTTATACTGATACAACTTTACTTGCGGCGATGCATAAAAGAAACAGAACTAAAAGGCTTCTTCCTGAGACGACTGTCCATTTTGTGACCCCAACGGCGGCAGGGGCATTCCGGCAGCCTTCATCTCAGCCACAATCCGCTTGTTGATAATGTTTCGGATGTTGGCATTCACATTCGGCAGAAGCCCACCTGTGCGTGCGGCGTGTTCAATCCGCTGGACGACGTCGATTTCGCGGCGCGATGATATCAGGTTCGTGACTAGCGCCTTGTCCATGTTGCCCACTCGCCCGATCCTGCCACATCGATGGATATAATCGGAGACATGGAGCGGAAAGTCAAAGTTGACCACATGTCGTGCTCGGGTGGTGTCCAGACCACGACTTCCCACATCGGTGGTGGAGAGGACGTCGCAGTGACCGTTTTGGAACTGCTCGAAGCGTCCCAGACGGATCTTCATCAGCATGTCTCCATTCAGATTTAAGCAGTTCACTCCGCTGTTATTCAGGAAAATGGAAACGAAGTCACTTGTGGTGGATTTGTTGCTGAACACGATTAGGGGGCGACGCTTGGCAAGATCATGCTTCACGAGTGACAGGAGTGTGGCGGGTCGATCGGCCTTTGACATGCGCAGGAACTTCTGCGTCACATGAGGCATCAGACGGTGCAGGTGGGGACTTACCACCTCACGGATGGTGTCCACGTCGATGACTTTCTGAAGGATCTCCCTGGTGTTCGTGGGCATGGTGGCCGAAGCCAGGATCATCTGCGTGCCAGCATCTTCTTTTTGCACCAAGTGGAACTAGCGATCAAGAAAAATAATGAAGCTAATGAAAGCTGTTTTTTGGGAATCCTCAACGAAGACTTACGGGAAATCTCCTGAGGAAATAGGTAAGTTTGTCCGTGAATGTATCATCCAGCAGAGTGTCCGCTTCGTCCAGAACCAGGTGTCGAACCTGCTCCATGCGGTAGATGCCAGTGGTCACAAGTTTGCTAAGTGCGCCCAGAGTGGCCACCAGTATGTCCACCTCCTCGAACTGTGGGTTCATCATGAGCTGCTTGGTATTGCCGCCAAGTAACGATTGCACTTTGAGATTGGTGCCTTGGGTAAGCTTCTCCGTGACTCCAGCAATCTGCGTGGCTAGTTCTCTGCCGGGAGTGAGGATCAAGACACGTGGAGTGTTCAGTTTTCGCTCGCCGACCACTTCCCTCTGGAGGAGCTTGTCCACGATGGGAAGGAGATAAGTGAGGGTTTTTCCACACCCAGTTTCAGCGGCAATCAGGCAGTGCTCCTTTCCATGGACAATGGGCAGTCCCTGCTTTTGGATTCCCGTCAGTAGTTTGACGCCCAGCTCGACTCGCAAGTTCTCTAGAAGTTGTGGATGAATGCGCATCCCCGTGC